ACTTCTCTTAGAGCCCTTATTTGTCTGGCTGCAACCTTGAGCCTACATCCCCACATCAGTTTATGGATCATATTTTTTTCATTGCGTAGGAGTTAAGCATTTAATATTTTATTGAAAACTTAAATTCTTACCTATACTAAACAGTTTAAAAACCAGTGTACGCTGATGCAGTAACCTGTGCTTCCGTGTACTCGTGTTCAACACAGGGCCTTGCGCATAGAGCGGTAAACCAAGGGCGATGAAGGGTAGGGCTGGGGTTAAGACCGGGAGGGAGAATACGAGTAGATTTAATTTCCAGCTCTGCCACTGACTTTCTAAGGGACTTAGCTAAGGTCACTTAATGTCGCAGCTGAGCAGCGAGGATATTTTTCCTACCTCAAAAGGGGCGTGCTGGAGAGACACGCAGAGTAGGTGATGAGTGCGGTTGCTCTTTGAGGCTGCCCTGGGCTGGATGAGTCCCCCGAATCCAGCCTGGGCGCTGGGGGCGCGGGGCGGAGCTGTCCCCGGTTCTGGGTGTAGAACAGCCTAGACTTACCCGGGCGTGCCTGGGGGCTGCACGCGGGGCTGACGGCGCCTGGCGGGGGCACAGGGCTACCTCTGACAAGGTAGGTGCGCAGCGCACGGGGCTGCTTGCGGCTGACCTGCGCCGGGTTGTTGGCCCCTGCCTTAGAGCCGGGGGCTGTGGGGAGGCCCTCTGCGCCATTCCCGCTGTTGGGGGGCCGGCCCGGGGCTGCCCCCCCCGAAGGGGCTGGGAGGAAAGCGGAGGGAGCCGAGGACCCGGTGCCTGCCCCCCGCGTGGTGCTGCCCCGCCCGGCTGCAGGAGCCAGCCTCCTGCCTGGCGGCTCTCAGTCACGCCGGCTGCTGCTGGCCGGCTCCCTGCCGCTGGCGTGAGGCAGACGTGCCGGTGTCTTGGCTGGGCTGGGCTCCGGCCCCGCTCACAAGGCTGCCGGCGGCGGCTTGTGCCTGGTGGCGCGCTGCTCTCCCTGCCGAGCCCATCCCCTGACGCTGACTGGGAGGGAGGATTGAGAGGAGCAGCCGCCGCCTAATGGCGAGCCCCGCTGATTGTTTACCGTGGCTCCCGGGCGGGTTCATGGTGACGGTCAGGGCTCTGCTCTTCTGGGCGCTGGTGTATAGCTACTGCGCGATCTGCGCCTGCATAGAGCTGCTGAAACTTTTGTGGAGCATAGGAAGGAGTCCAGGCAAGACCTTCCAGCGGATCATCCGGGAGAATCCTCCAGCCTGCCTCAGTGATCCCTCCTTGGGTACGCACTGCTACGTGAGAATTAAGGTAAAGGCTCTTGGTTTCTGTGCTAACCATTTAATATGGGGGTACGAGGGGGTAACCTGACTGCCGCTAAACATAAATAACAGGCGACTTGCTCTCTTTGCTTGTAAAACCCGAGGGAGCGGGGTGGGGACTGGCTGGTCTCTTGCATTTCCATTTCTTTTCTGTCTGAAGATCTGCTGTAGCGCCGTTTGTTTCTTGGGTTGGTGCTGAAGGGAAAGAACACTGTGTGTACAGTATTTGATTCATTCAAAGGAAAGGGAATGGTCATGGTTCTCTTCGTTGTAGTGTATGCCATGTAGTCACATTTAGAACCCGTTCTATGTGCATCACAAAGATGGGGTTTGCAAACAGTAATCCATTTTGAAACAGTCACACTGTGTGCATATCAGGTCTTTTGTCTGAATTGTTTCACTCTGCTTCTGTTTATTTGTTGTCTTAAAGACCATGCTGAATTTTTCTTTGCAGAGCACATAGAATCCTTGCAGGTCACCTTCGTTCTCGTGGTGATCCGCTCGACCTGAGTGGAATCGCTCTGTTCAATAAAGTGAATGGTCTAACCTTCTATCTACAGCTATAGCTACCTATTGGGACGGGGGACAGGAAACTTGATGAAAATAACCAGTGTGTATGCAAATCGGCTGAGCCAGGTGATGTGTCTCAGAGTGTTGAGGGAATTAACAAATGAACTTACTCAACCACAGGTCATTACTTTCAGAAAGTCATGGAACACTAGGAGGGAATTAGACAACCAGGGAAAATTCAAGGTGGCACTAATCACTATTCTTTCTAAGCTGCTCCTACGTGCATGTTCTGCCAGCCCTCCCAGGGTTGCCTGGTGTGATGAATCATGCATACTGTATAGATGCTTAACATGGTATAAAGCATGAACTCTGTATGTGCACTGGTGAAGATTCCAGAGACTAGACCACCATCAGACTATCGAGTTGTGTCTCCACTTTACCAGGAGCTTGAGCACTCAAACTGGTGCCAGGTGAGAACAGAACTGAGGGAAATCAACTGATTATGTCCCACCAGGATGGCAAGGCCTGTTCAGCTGCTGGGCTATCATTGTCCTTTGCCGCTAGCCTAACTTGTCCATGTGGGAGATAGGATCTCAGGCTGATGGAATTCCTCCCACTGCTTTCTGAAGGTTGGCGATATTCTTCCACTCACAATAAAAAAGAGCCATCTTGTTCAATTCTGACAGAGGGCATTGTTCCTGCTGTCTGCCAGTAGGTTGCTGGGCTAAATGGTGTCTCTTGAAGATGAAAGAATCAAATTCTGGATAGGACTGAGCAGTGATTGCACAGTCCTACCATCTGGAAGCCTCATCTGGGTTAGAGGTGGAAGCTCTGTTTTAGTGGTCATTAGATTGCTGGGCTCCCTGGGTCTCCAATGCAACAATAATAGCGACGACTCTTCTTTTTCCATCTCTTCTTTTTCATCCTTTTCCCCCCCTACCTTTATCCTACTTTCTGCAGCATGCCCCATCTTTCTCCACCTCTCGTTCCCATTTTTTCTCTGTTGTTGTTGTTCACTGTTGGTATATAAGGCCTAGGAACCCCAGTCATGGATCAGGACCCTATTCTTTTAAGTGCCTTACAAACATAGAACAAAAAGTCCCTGCACCCAAAAAGCTTACCATCTAAGTCATGTTTTTCTTGAATCTTTCTCCTATCTCTTGTGACTGTCCTGCCTGTGGTCCACACATCTAATAAACATGCAAATGAAATAGTATAGATCTTGCTCAGCCTACAATCAGAAGTGCATAGCAGATGTATGATGTATGGCAATTTTTTAAGTTTAATTTTTAATAAAACACTAGTTTTAGTTGACTTTTATTGCTTGTGGGTAAGATCTTGGAAATGGGCAATAAACATTCACTAAGTGTAATCTCAGACTCTAGTAAAATAGTGAAAAAATTCTGAGAAGAAACTAAGCATCTAGAGCAGCGGCTCTCAATCCATGGGCCACTTGCAGCCCAATCAGCACACAGCTATGGCCCATGTGACATCCTCGGGGCCATACAGGTAGTATATATATATGTGTGGATGCAGCCCACATAACACATATAGAGCTGCATATGCGGCCCACAATGGTAAATAGGTTGAGAACCACTGATATAGAGAAGAACAAAAACACAAACAATAAACCATGTAAGATCAATAGAGACTAATACTGCCAAATGTAGTTCACCACTTTTTAGTTAGAATTAGAAAATACATTTCTACAAAAGAGATAATGAATAAACAATATATAACAAGAGAGTATATGACTATTAGTTATGAACCTCAGTTAATACATTAAATTAAATCATGCATTCAGTTAGTTGGTGAATTAAATAGCTGAAAGCCTTTGACAACTACAATGGGAATACATTCTAGCCAGTTAGTTGATCATTAAGGAGAAAGTTTGTATGTGGAAAAACTTTTAAATTCACATTATGTCTACAGTGTAAAAAAGAGCTGGTTTGAATCCTCAAATATAAAGGTTACTTTCTTGTACTTCTTAATATTCAGGTAGCTACAATTTGCTTATAAAATGTTTTTCTAGGTTACTTACAAACAAATTATCTTCTACTCCAGAGGGACAATCTGTCACTTCTGATATAAAAGCTTCCATGCCACTTTAAAGTATTAAAATACATGTTTGACCACTAATAATAAACTGCAGATTTTCTGGGAAGAGTACAGTACAAATGCAGATTTTTAAGGATTCCAGTTTCTTATGTCTGAGTTGTTTTACGTACTTCATTTAGGTCATGAGGCATGTGAATTCTTTATACCCATATACAACATTTCCCCCCTTTATAACAAACAATACCATATTTTAACTGACCATGTTGGGGAGGGGTAAATTATTGCAGTAAAACATTCTGGGGATAAATGAAATCATTGACTATATCCAGAAGATAAAGCCGCGATCGGTGGCACTTCGGCGGCAGCTCTACCGCGCTACTTCATTCTTCGGTGGCAATTCGGCGGCGGGTCCTTCGCTCCGAGAGGGACTGAGGGACCCGCCACCAAATTGCCGCCGAAAACCCGGATGTGCTGCCCCTTTCCATTGGCCGCCCCAAGCACCTGCTTCCTTTGCTGGTGCCTGGAGCCGGCCCTGAAGGCTAAGTGTATTATTGTTGTCATTAGTACAAGAGTAATGCTTACAGGTCCCAAGTAAAACAGCAAAGATGAAAGTATGGAAAAATAAAAACAGAAAAAAAAAAAAAAAAAGGGACAACATTTCAACACAGCCTGGATGTGCAGCTTGAAGATGATGCTCCAATTACAGCTTGGATGACTGTGCAGATGATGATGTCAACAGTCACAGAAAAAGTGGGGAGAAGAGAGGGCTCAAGAAGGTAGATGAGAAGCTCAGTTTGGGGCATATTAAGTTTGAACAGCTGCCTGGACATCCATGAGATAATTTCAGGGAGACAGGATAGTTTTGGATGGAGAAACAGAGGTCAGGAGAAGAAAGGTAAATTTGAGTCATCAGCATACAGATGACGATTGAAGGTGTCTGAGTGGATGAGATATTGTTTGAGGACACACAGACACACAGATGAGGAGTTTGAGGACAAAGCCCTATGGGTCATCCATTGAAAGAGAGGAAAGGAGGAGGACCCACTAAACAAGATATTGGAGAAGCAGGAGGATAACAAGGAGAGAAAGGAATAATAAAAACCAAAAGAGAACATGATTTTTTAGAAGTACAAATGGGGATAGAGGTCAAATGTGGCCGAGAGGATATCACGGATGATGATGAGGGAATAGATGCCCTGAGATATGACCAGGAAGAGGTCATTAGAGACTTTAAAATTAGGGCTGTTGATTAATCACAGTTAACTCACACGATTAACTCAAAAAAAGTAATTGTGATTAAAAATATTAATTGTGATTAATTGTCGTTTTAATCGCACAGTTAAACAATAGACTACCAATTGAAATTTATTAAATATTTTGTTTTTCTACATTTTCATATATATTAATTTCAATTACAAAACAGAATACAAAATGTATATTATTATTTTTAATTACAAATATTTGCACTGCAAAAATGATAAAAAAAGAAATCGCCTCATACAAGTACTGTAGTGCCATCTCTTTATCATGAAAGTGCAACTTACAAATGTAGATTTATTTTTTTTTGTTACATAACTGCACTCAGGAACAAAACAATGTAAAACTTCAGAGCCTACAAGTCCATTCAGTCCTACTTCTTGTTCAGCCAATGGCTAAGACAAACAAGTTTGTTTACATTTACAGGAGATAATGCTGCCCTCTTCTTATTTACAATGTCACCAGAAAGTGAGAACAGGTATTTGCATAGCACTTTTGTAGCTGGCATTGCAAGGTATTTACATGCCAGATATGCTAAACATTCATATGTCCCTTCATGCTTCGGCCACCATTCTAGAGGATATCCTTCCATGCTGATGACGCTCGTTAAAAAAATGTGTTAATTAAATTTGTGACTGAACTCTTTGGGGGAGAATTGTATGTCCCTTGCTCTGTTTTACCCGCATTCTGCCATATATTTCATGTTCTAGCAGTCTTGGATGATGATCCAGAACATGTTGTTTGTTTTAAGAACACTTTCACGGCAGATTTGATAAAACACAAAGAAAATACCCATGTGAGATTTCTAAAGATAGCTACAGCACTCGACCCAAGGTTTAAGAACCTGAGGTGCCTTCCAAAATCTGAGAGGGATAAGTGTGGAGCATGCTTTCAAAAGTCTTAAAAGAGCAACACTCCGATGCGGAAACTACAGAACCCAAACCACCAAAAAAGAAAATCAACCTTCTGCTGGTGGCATCTGACTCAGATGATGAAAATGAACATGCATCACTGTGCACTGCTTTGGATTGTTATTAAGCCAAACCCATCATCAGCATGGACGCATGTCCTCTTGAATGGTGGTTGAAGCATAAAGGGACATATGAATCCTTAGCATCTAGCACATAAATATCTTGTGACGCTGACTACAACGGTGCCATGCAAATGCCTGTTCTCACTTTCAGGTGACATTGTAAACAAGAAGCGGGCAGCATTATCTCCTGCAAATGTAAACAAACTTGTTTGTCTGAGTGATTGGCTGAACAAGAAGTAGGAATGAGTGGACTTGTAGGCTCTAAAGTTTTACATTGTTTTGTTTTTGAGTGCAGTTATGTAGTGAAAAAAATTTACATCTGTAAGTTGCACTTTCATGAAAAAAAATTGCACTACAGTACTTTTATGAGGTGAATTGAAAAAATACTATTTCTTTTGTTTTTTACAGTGCAAATACTTGTAATCAAAAATAAAGTGAGCACTGTAAACTTTGTATTCTGTGTTGTAATTGACATGAATATATTTGAACATGTAGAAAACATCCAAAAATATTTAAATAAGTGGTATTCTATTATTGTTTAACAGTGTGATTAATCATAATTATTTTTAATCGCACGCTTAATTGTGATTAATTGCACAATTTAAAAAATTAATCACAATTTTTTTTATCGTTTGACAGCCCTATAATATGTAGATAGTGTCACAAATAATTCCTGAATACTGCTCACTGAATTTGATGCTTCTAAACTTTCCTGAATTAATTTCCTGTCTTCACTGGAGTTTGTGTGTAAAACTGGTGTAATTGGGGGGAATCAGGCCCAAATTCTTAATAAAATCCAAAATAAGTATGAAAAAGAGAAAAAAAAATTTCCCTTCTAGAACCTTGGTCCCAAGATATTAGTTGATTCGTTTGCAGTGTCAGGGCAGCTCAAGGAAGTTCAAGCAGATACAGCCGGGAAGTTCTGGCTACTGTATTTTCAACCTCGTGGAGAGTACATCAGCCCTTGATCCACAGGCGAAAGCATTAATTGATCAGGTTGTAGAGAGGAGGCAGTACATTCTGTTACATCAATAAAGAAGTACAATCTCTCCTTACGTGATACCCAACCAACAGATTAATTCTTCACAAGCCAACTCTTTCCCAAGTCCCATATCCCCTTGTCTCAGGAAGATCTTCACCAGCAGTATCTCCTGAGATCTACCATAAAACTTCTTTCTGTGTGGAGACAATGTACAATCTCATAGGCAATATTCAGAGCATATTAGTCAGCTCTATACATGTAACCTTTTGGATCACTCTCAAGTCCGTGGCTGAGCATTAAGTTTTCCTCATTAGGGAGGCAGGAACCCATCAGATCTATTCGGACATCATTTCAGCCCGTTTATTCAGTCTAACCTTCAGTTGGTGTATCTCAGCATAGCTCCAGTCATTTAAATAGAGCTATGTCAGTTTACACTGACTCAGCTTCTGGCCTACTGACAATAAACACCTTGCCTATTGGTCATTTTCACAATGATAAAAATTCTCAGGGGGCTCATGGCTACAGCCAATTTCAGTAAATAAAGACAAGGTAGGTGATGACAGTCACATTAATAGACCTTCTTTTCCAATCTCTCTGAGAAAAGCCTTAATGGACCTTCAACTTTTTAAAATAAAAATAAACGTGATTTAAACCTTGTGGCACATCAAAAATATACAATTTTAACTACCTTAATTAATTTTGACAAACTTTCATTTTTAAAAAACCCATATGATCTGTCAACTCTATACCTGTTTTCAACGTGATATAATTTTAAATAGCTGAGAGTAGCATCATCTAACTCACAAGCTGTACAGCAGATATAAAGTACTCTTGGCATGGACTAAAATGCATTCTATCTAGTGGTTATTTGGTGTTCTATGTGAACTGAGTGGGTGCTAGTTCCTAGTTACCTAGTACCTAGTTACCTAGGCATCACACCAGTTGGCGCTCTTGTTGGAAATCTTAGCAGAGTCACATGACTGAACAGGCATAGAAACTGAACGACCTTGTCACCTGCTAGAAGAGATCCTTCCAGAATAGTTGGTAAGCTTGTACTACCATTGCCCATACATCACTGATCTGTGAAGATACAGAAGACATCAATTTTCAGGGCTGTCAATTTGGCACTTATATTAAGCACAAAATTCATCTCTTTGAATACCTTTGAAAATCATATTAATACTCAGATCCTCATTGCAGCAGTACTAGGCAGCAATCAGATCACAATACTTATTTTTTTTTCTTTCCCTTCCAGGATTCAGGGTTAAGATTCCACTATGTAGCTGCTGGAGAACGGGGTAAACCACTCATGCTGCTGCTTCATGGCTTTCCAGAGTTCTGGTAAAACTCCCCACTTGTTCTCATTTCACTACAGACATAGTATATATATCATTTAAATCCACTCTGCTATTCTCCATAACTATGTTCAAATATCCCAGTAATGGTAAGTTTTAAGACTGGACAAACCACTGGAACTGAGCATGCATTCATTTTTTCCAATTGTACCATCCACAAAATAATCTCTGTGTTCATCTAAACCAAAATACCTCTTTCTATTCTAGTTCAGGAAATATTTCTTCATGTGTATACACTTTTCATCAAACTATCAGGAGAGCCATTTACTCTGTTCTAGTACATTTCAGGGTTGACAAAGCATAAACATTTAGAATGAGTATTCCTGTGTTCAGACACTATGGTGATGGGCACCAGCACAAGAACCCAGGCAGATTTTTAAATTCAAAATGTATCAGTATATTTATTAATAAATAATAGCATGGCATACTATATATTGTAAGAAATACAGGGAGGGAAATGCACGGTTTTTAAAGTCCTAGAGTCTATCGTGTAGCTTAACTAATTTTAGTTGTCACTAAGGGAAGAAGGCTCTATTAAAATGGTTACATCTGCAGGCACATGAAGAAGCCTGGTGGATCAAAAGTAAACAAAACCTAAAGTGTTTATTTGTAATGATGAAAGGACCAAGTTTCTAATATTTTGGCCATATCATTTAGGCTGTGACTGCCAGATTTAACAAGCTAAAATCATTGCAGGTCATGCCTTTAGCAACATTCTGTGTATTGTCTGACTACTCAAATGGAATGGGATATTGAATAAGAAAACTGCTATATAGGTCATTGTTAACGCCAGTAGCATAGCTTATACCTGCTGTTTTTAAAAGAAGACAACAATAAAGTAATGCATGAGATAAAATATGCACGCTAAAAATATTACAGTTGGCTTGTTACTGAATCTATGCAGAATTTTATATATGAACTGAGATTTTGTTTTGAAAGTATGAGATAAAAGAATAACAATTTTAAGAGTAGTATAAAGCAGCTGCAAACCTGTACTTTTTGGATAGTAACAGGAATGGAAGTAACTTCCACTATTATGAAGCTTAATTGCAAAATCCTCTAGCTTCCAATGTCTCAAGGTTATTACTAGGACACATGAAATAACCAGTCAGTGCTGATCTCAGTGAGCAACTGAGGGTGTATATTGGCAAAAGATCAGTCAAATGTATAATGCACCACTGCCATTAAGTCACTTATATGCAATTTTAAAAAATCAATACAAAATCTTATGGGAAACTAATATAAAAATTTTAAAATTGGAGTAAAATGTTCATATAGCTGAATGCCTGTAAGGATGTGTGTGAGCTGCTTCCAGAAATAACATGATCAGAAAAACCCAAAATAGCTCCAATTATTCAGCCTTGAGAAAATAAAGGTATTTACCAACATTTCAAAATCTTTCCTGCAAAGCAGTGGTCTCACTAGATAAATACTTTAGATATGATTAAAAAAAAGTGTTGTATGAAAAGATCAGTGATACATATTGAACTCACAGAGGATACTTTTACTAGATGACACATGCCTCTGGGATCTGCTTCTCTTGGTGGTCTGCTAAGGCTACAGTTAGGTCTTGCACACCCTGATGCTTGCCAATCTGTTCATCAAGCCTTTAACTGATTGATGGACCATCATGACAGCAGGGTATAGGGATATAAAGGTGGTATGTCATTAAAAAAGAAAACATTTACAGGTCTGTCTCATCTTACGCGGGGGTTCTGTTCCGCGGTTAGCGCGTAAAGCAAAAACCGCGTATAGCCAAAACCCCATTGAGTTCAATGGCGGGCGAAATCGCCCGCACTACAGATATAGTATTAAAATGGTTGTTTTTCTCTTTTTTTTGTTTTTGTTTTGTTTTTGCCGACGGCGTAAAGTTGAAATCGCGCATGTTAAATGCACGTAAGATGCGACAGACCTGTACTGTGTCATGTTGTTTCACTTTAATGAGGTATTTGTGATAGCCCCTATAGTTATCATGGTAAACTTGACTTACAGGGCAGTGTATATTGATTTTTTAAAAATAAAAGTCATTTATAGAAACCTGTATTTATTAAAACTTGTATTTATTTGCATTAACATAGGGCACCCAGATGGAACTGTGATGGGTGTTGTGTTTACAGTAATAACATTTTCTTTGATTAGTCCAAGGACAATGTAATGTTGACCATGATGTGTTCAAAATCCCTGATTGGTTAGTACTACCCCCAAAGCAGAAGGCATAAGGATCTGAAATAAAATGCTACTTGGAGTCTGGCAGAATTGTACACCTCTCCCTTAAGCTATTTGACCTCCCAAATGCTACATTTATGTTGTTTATTTGAGATCTTTGCAATAGGGCTAATAGTAAAAGTTAGCAAGCAGGGGTCCATTTTATATTATCTGTGGTTAAAACGATCATAACATTTTTCATATTTCCTTGAATGATATTATAATATAGGGCCAAATCCTTCCAGGTTCTGAGCACCTCCTAGAAGGTGTTGGGTATCCTCAATTTAAATTGATTTCATTAAGAATTGAAGCGTAGGTAACAGCTAACAGGACAAGGCCCACAGTCTTTTATTATCTTTATACCATTTTTATCCCATTATAATCTATTATTTCTAAACCCAAGAATAATCCAAATCTTTCTCTGGATGCTTATTAAACTCTTCCTCACTCTAGATTTTCTTTAAAGTAAGTAATTTCAGTCTTTATTCTCCATAGAAACACAACCAGTAAAATACCATGTACAGTACTGACGCACTGACAGCTGTTAATCTTCATTGTTCTGGGAGAGTTTAGAGTGACTGAATAAGGACACATAGATAAATATAGCACAGATGATAAACCATAAAATATCAGTTGATCAAATTAATTTGTAACATATGTTATTAATCCTTTGCTTTACATATTGAATGAGTTATCGTTCCTTCCTCCCTCTTTCCCCCAAAGAAACACAAATGTGTTCATCTTGTCATTTGAGGCCCAACTCGTTGGTCCATTCAAGCCTATCTGGTGCAGGAAGAAGGTGACAGGAGAACAGGGACAGCTCCAGGCACCAGCGCAGCAAGCACGTTCCTGGGGTGGAAAGCCGCGGAGGGCGGCCTGCTGGTCGCTGTGAGGGCGGCAGGCAGGTGGCTTTCGGCGGCGGGCCTGCCGGCAGTCCACTGGTCATGCGGCTTCAGCGCCATGCCTGCAGGAGGTCTGCCGGTCCCACGGCTTCGGCGGCAATTTGGCAGCGGGGACGCCGATGGTGCGGCACTGGCGGACCTCCTGCAGGCATGCCGGCGAATCCGCGTGACCAGCGGACCGCCTGCAGGCGCGGTCCGCCGAAAGCTGCCTGCCTGCCATGCTTGGGGCGGCAAAAAACATAGAGCCGCCCCTCTAGGAGAAGTAGCTCTCCACACCCCATATTCTGGGGTCAGTTGCGTCCTCAGAATTACAGGAGTCTCAGGGATGCTCTAATTTTTGCCAGCTACCTATGGCACTAAGGAGCCATTCTAGATGCCATGAATAACTGGACCATAGAGACAGTCTGATTATACCCTCTTTCCCTCAGCTATGCTCCCTATCTTAGGGGCTTTGAGAAGATGGTGGTGTAGAACCACTCATGCTAGCTCATCTTCCCTACAGACTCCCTTTCTAGTGGGAATTCCCACCCAGACAGAACCACCATGCTATGGCAAAAAGTGGCCATACATAACAGAGAATCAAGCCAATAGAATTTAACATTACCCTATCATAGAGGCTGTACTACTGACTGAATTCTAGTATTCTTCCATGTAACCTTTAACTACATTTTTTTCTCCTTTATTAGGTATTCCTGGCGCCATCAATTGCGAGAATTTAAAAGTGAATATCGAGTTGTGGCACTGGATTTGAGAGGTTATGGAGAAACAGATGCTCCTTCTCACCAGGAGAATTACAAGTTAGATTGCCTAATTACAGATATAAAGGATATTTTGGAATCTCTAGGTGCGTTAACAGAAGCCAAACTGCCCAAGTTGTTAATTTTATTTCATTTGTTGCAGAACTATGAATAGCTATCCTGTGATTTAAAAAAAAAAATCCAAGGTGATTGGTTTTGTTTTAATATATGCATTTAGTTGATGATATTGTCTAAGTAAATTTGATTCAAATAGATCTGACTTATTTTATGGATTTTAGTCCACACTAATTCTTGAACAGTATGAAAAGTTTTGTTTTCAAGCCAATATGCCTGGGTCAGCATAGGGAATATGCAAACATGCTTTTCAATCAAATGCAAAGCCCTAAAGATGCTCTTGTATGCCCCCATCCTGCAATGGGATCTGGTAGCACAGCTGGATCTAGTACTATAGCCTTATGGTGAGTACCACTGAAGTCAGTGGGTCTCCACCTAATGCTGACCCTTGCACTTAGTGAATCTAATTATAGGATTAGGGTCTTAAGCATCAGTAGCGCTTACAGGGTATCACTACTAGAAGATGGAAACCAAAACAACATGGTGATATTTTCTGTTACCTACTACGCAAAGTGCATATGCTCTACCCTCTAAGTGACAGCAATGTAGGGGCTGTATAGTGTTAATAAAAAAGAAAACAACTTACTAAAATATGCACAATAGCCAATTCTCAATTGTCAGTATTCAACTGAGTTTTACTGTTCATTTATGTACTCCCTTGTACAGTCCAAATCATGGCCAATCTTGCACAGCTGCGAAAAGGGGAATAAGAGGACATAAGATACTGTACTCCTTACGGCCTTGTATAGGCTATGTGTACCACAGATAGCTGCATGGGATGGGAAGCAAGCTCTGTAAAGCTGCTGGGTTTCCCCTATTCGGGGAGAAATGTAGCTGTGCTGGATATAACCACACCGTAGGATACTTCCCCTCCAGAGAAGTGGGGAGATCCAGAGGCAGATTGCTACTCTCTGAGTCATTATCTCTTCCAAGCTGCACTCAGAGCAGTGTAAGAAACACTGAGCAAATTGTAAAGTGATGATCTAGGTTTGAATTTAGAACTGCTCTGAAAATTTTGAATCACATCAAAAGATGGGGCATGATATCACAAACTTTGTTTGCGTTTTCTAAGCAACTCTAGTTTTATTAAACTCCTCAGTAATGCCATAGTTGTGCTTTGTGATGTATTGCGCTCTCTCATTGTAAGTCCTGCTTCACAGGGGCTTAAAAGTTTCTAGAAAAAATGACCTCTTGGACTCAAATTTCCCCTGCTTGTTCTTGCTCCAGAGATAAATTATTTTGGAAAGTCAGATTAAATCAAAAGTGGCCAAAGAGATTTTTATCAGAAAGTAGATAAAAGGTGTTGGTTACTTTGACATTTCTCTCTTGCTTTCTGTCAGAGAACCCAAAATAATTTGGATTTTACACATCTGACTTGGCATGTATGTAGAGTGCTTTAATTCTCAGTAAGGAACTGGGGCTTTGCAATGTAGGTCTGTCTGGGTTAAGGAATAAAAGGTGGAATTTCCTAAAGCGCAGCAGTCTTGAATTAACTCTGCTCCCTGTGAGTCAGTTTTCAAATTCCCATTGATATCAGTGGAACCATAGTTAGGCCAATGCTTAGCACTTTTGAAATTCCTACCTAAAGAGAATATGAATAAGTAAAGAAGTGTTCTGAGCCTGTGCTGTACACCATCATCCCTACCTGTTTACGTTTGCAGTAAGTGCAGCTATCTGGATATAATTCCCACCTTTATAATGATGCATTATTGAGATTTTGAACACCATGTGACCAACTTGGCCACATTGCACATAGGTATTAGGGCACGGAAATGATCTCATACAGTAAGATGACTTACGTCACATATACAAGGGGGGACAAAGTATATTTGCAGTGGAAACCATTACTTTTAATTACCTGTAAAAATTTCAAGCATAACACTCGCTAATCTCCTTTTTTATGTTTAATAAAGGAAGTGTTGACACGTCTTTAACTATGGCAGTATAAATAATTTGTTAAGAAAAAATGAAGAAGTTGAAGTATTGTCAGCAAATATGTTGGAACATCTGTTTTTGTTTAACTGTCATTATTTTATGTGATAATTCATTTTCATATAACTGTGAGTAAACAAATGTCAAAATCTGTCTTTATGTGGCAGGGTACAATAAGTGTATGCTGATTGGCCATGACTGGGGTGGAATGATTGCTTGGTTAGTTGCTATTTGTTATCCGGAAATGGTGACCAAGCTTATTGTGGTTAATTTCCCTCATCCCTCTGTATTTACAGGTGAGTTTTACAATATTTTTATTTTAACCCAAAATATTCACATTTTCACTAAGCAGGCAGATTTGGTGCTTATTTAAGGGTAGATCTGGAGAGGCACTGCACACCTAGATACCTAGGGATGCTGTGAAAGAACATTACAAGTGCTCCGCACCTCTTGGAATCTGTCCCTTATTTAAATGAAACGCAAAGCTGTCAGATATTTTGCATTAAAGCATAATTTTACAGTAGTGGGTGCGGGTACTAGCATGCAGATATACTGGCTTCTTGTCTTTGGTAATCCATAGCCTGATTCTCATTTACACTCAGGCTGCTTTACTTGGCTCTGGCAGTGCAAAGGTGCCTTAAGGTGGATGAAAATGACCCATTATATTGCCACATAAATGTAAAGCCAGAGGCGGATTATGATTTTGTGGGGCCCTGGGCCAGAGCAAGTAGGGGTCCCTCCCCACACATTCCGCCTGCAGTTCCCCCTCCCCTGCCTCTCCCCGGCACTCCTGCTGGGGAGTGGGGGCTTGTACCGTTCCACCTGCCCAGCCAGCGCTCCTGCCAGAGAGCGGGGTTGGGGCGCGGGGGCTTCCCCTGCTCTGTGGCAGGAGTGCTGGGTGGGTAGAGGGGGGAAGGCCCCCGTGCCCCGACCTTGCCCACTCCGAAGAAGGTCCTGTCACCCAGCGCTACCCCTTGATATGCTGCTTTGTCCCTTCCCTTCTCTGGTTATTGCATGTTGGCTGAGCCTCTCCATCTCTCCCCCCACACACACCTAAGGACGTTTGCCCATGCTCCAGTCTCAGAGAGCAGAGGACACAGGGCATGGCCTGGCATAACCCAATTGCCCAGAGGACAAAGGCCATTGCTCTCGGTGTCCCTTTGCTGGCCAAGGGCAGGTGCGTGGCAGCTCAGTTTTCCCCTCCTCTCCTAAGACACATACCTTTGGTCCCATCCCACCCCACCCCCACCGGATGCTAGCTTGTGCTTTGGAGCTGCCATGATAGTGCCCCTCCTCTCTGAGGACATGTCGGGCACCTGCCGTTGTACCCACAGTGCCCAAGGATGGTGAGAGCCCTGCTAGCGCCACAAAGGGAGGAGTCACGTCTGCGCTTAGGGTCCCAGATATGATCATGATTGACTCACTTCAGCCTTGAGGGTCCTGAGAATGCCTGGACCCTTCCAGCCCCTAAGGGACAGAGTCACACTGATTCAGGGATGCTCTGGGGCTCTTCAGACCCCTCTGTGGGATGGTAAGACTCATTGGAGACCTACAGCTTCTCTTTGGAACGGGGGCACATTGATGTGGAGAGGCTGGGAGCCATTAGAGCCATTTGTGGATGGGGCAAGCTTTCTCCACATGCCTCCCTGCATTCCTGCCGGGGAGCGGGGCAAGCTCCCGCACCCTGGCTCTGCTCCCTGGCAGGAGTGCTGTGTGGGTGGAGCGGGGGCAAGCCTCCATACCCTGACCCCACTCCCCGGCAGGAGCTCCAGGCAGAGCTGGTCAGGGGGTGGGAGCATCCATTTTTCTGGGCCCCCCAATTGGCCAGGGCACCTGGGTATGGGCTCCGCTGGCCCAGTGGCTAATCCGCCACTGTGTAAAACAGCCTTAATGTAAATGAGAATCTAATCCTCATTTAGACAAGTGAAATTGAGTTTTGTGATGTTATATTACGGTAAACCTCATTGTAACAAACCAGTCATCCGAGACTGCTTAATAGCATGTAGTTGAAGGTAAGGATTTTGGTGGATTTGCAGAGTTATGTGGTGAGGTATGCACAGAGAATATCTGCTATATGCCTGGCTCTAGCCAGTGCTACTTGATTTCTACTTTCCCATGCATTAAGTGCACATACAATTTTAAAATGCCCATTAGCATCTTACTACATTTCTTTTATTTAATTGCAGACCTGTTTTTTTCTCATTAAAAATCTTAAGGTCTCACTTCACTTCTCCAAATATATTTAACAGAAGAGTACTTAATAAGGGCTTGATTCTTATCCCACTTGGTGTGAATAAGTTTAAGCCAATGAAGTAACACTGGTGTAAAACCAGTATAAGTGAAATCAGAACCAAGCCCTAAAACTCAATTACTCTTACAAAATATACTCAAGTAGCCTTCCTAACCTACTAAAGATTATTTTAATGAATAATAAAGCTACACTTACAAAAATAAGGGCTTATCTTGTACCCTTGGAGCCAGTTGAAGTTTCATCAGTAACTCCAGTTGGAGCAGGAGTCAGGCTCTGTATGAACAAAATGCACTTTGTGATGCCATAGACTTTTTGATGTGTGTATTTGTCTACTTGCTTAGTAGTTCACACAATCCACTCTAATTTTCAGTGGGCTTGCCAGTCAATGGCACAAATTAATTAGGGTCAACTGTGCACTGAATAAAAAGATTCAGGTTATAAATAAAGCATTCTGATAGCCATAAGCATCATTGTAATGCCCAGTACATGAAAAGTCTGACTTTTTCCTCACATTTTTATTCATAAATTGCATTTTATAATAGCAATAAGAGATACTCTGAACCATGCATTTCTAACGGATCATTACATTTTTCACATGGCTGAAGTCACCTGACTTTCAGGCTTGTGCCCTATAACACCACTCTGGGCTTGCTATAATCACTTAGTCATGTACTGCATATCATTTCTTGTTAAGTGACAGCAGTAACAGATCTTTGACAGTTCCTCAAAGTTTGCACATCAGGATTGGTTGACTTCCCATCACATCCACATGTCCCAATATCAGAGGACTATATGTACTACTAATGATCAGTGCTGAAGTCTGCCTATTAGAAAATGGTGAGTTAACTTTTTCCAATTTTGAGCAGATCTCTATGGTTCTCCTTGTAAAATTATAATATTTAAACAAAAACTTTAGAGATCAGGCAATACTGAAAATATGTTAGTTTACCATTGTCTTATAGAGCAGAAAAATCAAGCATTGATCAGCAATGTTGGTGACCTGTCAAAGGAAAAATGCAACCGGTGATGCAATTTAAGAATTTACAAAATAGGAATGTTTGAAAAAGTTATTTGGGACTTGAACTATTAAATACAATTAAATTAGTTTTGTTTTAAAGAACAATCCCTATTCGTCTTTCGTGGCTGATTTTTCAGAGATGGGCTCCAATTTTGTAGGTACAATTTTGCATCTCCAAATAATTGTGTGTGTAATTTTACATCTACAGATGATAGCCTTTAGACTTCTACCTAACTACTATACTTGCTACTTAAATGTTATAGTTTGTACATGTAACCCATTGCAAGCATAGAGTTGCACCTGCAAAAAAATGGAGGCCTGCTTGAGATCCTTAATACCAATTCAGTTATATTGTTTTCTTTGCCATGTGTGCTTCTACTGTGCTACTGAAGTGACTACAGAGTATTTTGGTTCCAGTTTTTGTACCTGCTAAGAAAGAAGACTATTCAAAAGTTTAATCCTTCCATTAATAGGATTGATGCCATATTTAAAAACATAAATGGATTATCATCTTTCGTATTTCTATGTATCACATTTGTGAGAGGAGAAATTTAAAATGTTCTTTAATTGTTTTTGTACAATTAAAAATGGTTTTGACTAATAAAAACAGGTCATTTTAATTAAACTGATCAAAATACTCAAATCCTCAAGTCCAGCCCCCTTTGCTGATTTTTTGTCAGGCCTTCCTTTTGCTGCCTACTTAAGATATATGTCAGGGGGTAGCCAGGTTAGTCTGTATCCACAAAAACAACAAGGAGTCCGGTGGCACCTTAAAGACTAACAGATTTATTTGGGCATAAGCTTTCGTGGGTAAAAAAACCTCACTTCTTCAGATGCACCTATGAAAGCTTATGCCCAAATAAATCTGTTAGTCTTTAAGGTGCCACCGGACTCCTTGTTGTTCTTAAGATTTATGTAAGATGAAATTCATTACATTTTAATGGCCAGTACATATACTCATATACTTACTTTTAAAATTATAATAATTCCTTGTCACATAGCACTCTCTAAATTAATACTTTTAAAACATTCCTTTAATTTTAAAAATAGTGATATCAACAGTAATTTTATCAGCTTTCATTTTTAATTCATGGGCATTTTTATTTCAGAATACATTCTACGACATCCTTCACAATTGATTAAATCTGGTTACTACTTCTTTTTCCAAATGCCTTGGTTTCCTGAATTCATGTTTACAGTAAATGATTTCAAGGTAAGCAAAATGAGTGCTCTTGTTTATGTTTAATGTGTTACTGATGGAATAACTGCCACCTATGTTGATCCTTTCTGATAGTATGACGTTTATGGAAAAATTAAGGATAGCTAGTAAAACTTAACTATAATTCTGGATTTGATGTGACTTTATTTTAGGTAGGGCTGTCTATTAATCGCAGTTAACTCACGCGATTAACAAAAAATAATTAATCGTGTTTAAAAAAATTAATCGTGATGAATCGCAGTTTTAATTGCACAGTTAAACAATAGAATACCAATTGAAAAGTATTAAATATTTTGGATGTTTTTCCACATTTTCAAATATATTGATTTCAGTTACAACACAGAATACAAAGTGTACAGTACTCACTTTTTATTATTTTTATTACAAATATATGCACTGTAAAAATGATAGATGCTCTGGCCAAAATCATGTAACTGGTGAAAAAAATGTGTGTTTTGGCAACACTGAGTGTGTGTGTGTGTGTGTGTGTGTGTGTGTATAAAATTTTCTTTACTTAAGCTTCATCCTTGCTCTTGGCTTCCTGGTAGGCACTTCAATATATCTTGATACTCCTTACATCCAGTACTATAGTACGTATGTCAACACCAAGACTATTCAGCAGGTCATTAAGTATCAGTAGTTTCTGTGGATATGTCTACAGTGCAACTAGAAGTGTGGCTGCAGCACGTGTAGACATACCCAAGCTAGCTAGGTGAAGGCTAGCTTGGGTGTGCTTACACGTGCTGCAGGCACACACTATGACTGCATAGACACCCTGTGCCAATAGCCAGATTCTCTGCACATAGAACACCCACTGCATACATGAACATCAACTGAAGTCAATGGAACGTCCTCTTAGAAATGTTAGCCCTTTTCTCCCTCAGATCTCCCTCAGTTGATATTTTAACTTCCTTTCCTTACAGAACAGTAGTTTCTAAAGAAGAGTTTGATTGTTTGAAAGGAAGAACTTCTGACAAGCTGGAATATAGAATGCTTCCCTGTAAAATGTGCTGCCTAAATAACCTGTAGCACCATACCCAAAAACAAGACAAAAGAAAAACAAAAGAAATGTCAATGAGTTTGACATTAAATCAAGTTGTTGCATGTAAAAATGTTTTCCTTCTATGACACTAGAAATCTGTGTCCAGAGCTTGTGTTTGCTTATGACAGTATAAGGGCCCACTGCGAAGGAATTTTGTCTTATTTACATATCTTTTAGTACTCTGAAATAGACCTCACCAGGAATAAGAACATTCTATACTTCATTATTTATAGTTGCCTAAAAAAAAGTAGCTTACACTTCAAACAAGGAGGTAGATGGATTTTGAACAAATATCTCCTACTCAAAGGGAGAAATATCATCATCACTGTTTTGCTATCCAGAACGTCTAGATTTCTTAGGTGCTTTTTTTTGTTTTGTTTTTGCTAGGTACTGAAAAACTTATTTACCAGTCGGACTACTGGAATTGGAAGGAAAGGCTGTCGATTAACAGCAGAGGACATTGAAGCTTACCTTTACATCTTTTCTCAACCTGGAGCACTAACTGGACCCATTAACCACTACAGAAATATTTTCAGGTCAGTATAATGTTCATAAATCAGGTAAAACATCTCAGCCAAATCCTTGGAATCCAAATATATTATTTTATCTGTTACCCCAAGGGCAGGAGAAAAGGTAAATCTTTTCCCAAACCAAGGTCCTTTACCAGGTAATACATTGATTCAGTGTCAGAAAGTATGATGTAATTTAAATTGCATGGCATGGCCACAAAATGTAATCAAAGAGCCAATATATTAGGGAGGAAAATCTTTATGTCTAGAGATGATACAAATTCTCTCCTATTAATAATAGGCATGGCAAATCAAAGATTTAGTCTCTAAATAGGATATTAATGATATCATAGAAACACAGTATCATACAAATGTAGGACTAGAAGGGACTTTGATAGATCATCTAGTCGAGCCCCCTGCACTGAGGCAGGACTAAGTATTATCTAGACCAGTGCTTCTCAAAGCCGATCCGCCGCTTGTTCAGGGAAAGCCCCTGGCGGTCCGGGCCGGTTTGTTTACCTGCCGCGTCCGCAGCTTCGGCCGATCGTGGCTCCCACTGGCCGCGATTTGCCGCTCCAGGCCAATGGGGGCTGCGGGAAGGGCGGCCAGCACATTCCTTGGCCCGCGCCACTTCCCGCAGCCCCCATTGGCCTGGAGCGGCGAACCGTGGCCAGTGGGAGCCGCGATCGGCCGAACCTGCGGACGTGGCAGGTAAACAAACCGGCCCGGACCGCCAGGGGCTTTCCCTGAATAAGCGGCGGACTGGCTTTGAGAAGCACTGATCTAGACCATCTCTGACAGATGTTTGTCTAACCTGTTCTTAAAAACCTCCATTGATGGAGATTCCACAACCTCCCTAGGTAATTTGTTCCAGTGCTTAACTATCCTTATAGTTAGCAAGTTTTTCCTAATGTCTAACCTAAATCTTCTTTGCTGCATCTTTGCTAAATCTTCCATTACTTCTTGTCCTGTCTTCAGTGGATGAAGAGAACAATTTGTCCTCCTGCTCTTTATAATAACCTTTTACGTACTTGAAGACTGTTATCATGTCCCTGTTCAGTCTTCTCTTCTCCAGACTAAACAAATCTAATTTTTCCTCGTAGGCCATGTTTTCTAAACCTTTAATCATTTTTGTTGCTCTCCTCTGGACTTTGTCCAAATGTGGTGCCCAGAACTGGACACAGTACTCCAGTTGAAGCCTTATCAGTGCTGAGTAAAGTGGAAGAATTACTTCTTGTGTCTTGCTTACAACACTCCTGCTAATGCATCCTAGAATGATGTTTGCTTTTTTTGCAACATTATTACTCTGTTGACTCATATTTAGTTCGTGATTCACTATAACCCCAGGTCTTCTTTCTGCAGTACTCCTTCCTAGGAAGTCATTTCCCATTTTGTATTTGTGCAGTTGGTTATTCCTTCCCAAGTGTATTTTGCATTTGTCCTTATTGAATTTCATCCTGTTTATTTCAAACAATTTCTCCGGTTTGTCAAGATTATTTTGTATTCTAATCCTGTTCTCCAAAGCACTTGGCATCCCACCCATCTTGGTATCATCCACATACTTTATAAGTGTACTCTCTATGTCATTATCCAAATCATTTATGAGGATACTGAACAAAACTAGACCCAGGACAGATCTTTTTGGGACTCCACCTGCTATGCCCTTCCATCTTGACACTGAACCATTGATAACTTTCTGAGTACAGCTTTCCAACTAGTTGTGCACCCACCTTATAGTAGGTTCATCTAGGCTATATGTCCGTAGTTTGCTTATGAGAAGGTCATGTGAGACCGTAACAAAAGCCTTATTAAAGTTGACATATATCACATCTACTGCTTTCCCCCATCCACAAGTCTTGTTTCCCTGTCAAAGAAGGATATAAGGTTGGTTTGACATGATTTGTCACATTATTATCTTCCAGATGCTTGCAAACTGACTCATTATTTGCTCCATTATCTTTGGATAATGATTGATTTATAATTCCTGGGGCTGTCTTTATTCCCTTTTTATAGATAGGCATTATATTTGTCTTTTTCCAGCCCTCTGGGATCTCTCCTGTCCTCCATGAGTTCTTAAGGATAATTGCTAATGGCTCAGAGATCTCTTCAGCCAGTTCTTTAAGTATTCTAGGATATATTTAATCAGGCTATGCTGACTTGAAGACGTTTAACTTGTTCTTTCCCTATTTTAGCCTCAGATCCTACCCCATTTACACTGATGTTCACTTTGTTAGTCGTCTGATTACTGCTAACCTTTTTGGTGAAAACTGAAACAAAAAAGGCATTTAACACTTAAGCCATTGCTGCATTTTCTGTTACTGCCTTTTCCTCCTGATTGAGTAATGGGCCTACTCTGTCCCTGGTCTTCCTATAATAATATATAATAGGGGATTAAGTCCCAATGCATCAGCACCATTGGAACTAAAGGATTAGATCAGTCTTGGGACCCATTCAGTTCTTGCCTGTGTGAAGCTGTCTGTAAGAATACCAATTGTGATGGTGGTTGTTGGATTTGAATACCTGTTCACTAGGAACTGGATTGAAACCATCACTTTATTTTACATAAGGCACTGAACAGCATTCAGATTCTAATGACTTTCATCTTCACTAATCATAGTGGATTGTACCTTGTGACCTAGATGTTAAAGGCTTCATATCTCATTACAATCCAGCCACCCATCTGGAGTAATCAGTTCTTCAGAGCTTAATTTTATTACAGAATTATTTCCAAAGAGATGTTGTTTGAAATCCTCTAGTCCCCTTGACTAAGCAATATATCTTTATAGGGAGAGAATAGCAATAATTCCATAAACTACACTTTATACACAACCCCTTTTTTAAATAGACCTTAGCCTGGTAGTTGCTTGACTTGTAGTATATTCAGTTTAGGAGATATGCACTGACACACTGTCAAAGTGAACTTTTGAACTTGAGTTCTGGTACATCGTAGTTTGTGTAAAAGCCTGTTGTATGTTCTTTCAAAATATGGGATTTTTCCTCTTGCATTGGTTGGGAAATATTTCAGCATTTTGTATATGAGGAAAATTGCTGGTCATCTGCTACTGTTGTGTGTGGAGGATATCTCCTTTTCAAAAGGTATTGAGTTCACAACATGACCTTCCCTTTCTAGATGGCAAATCTGCATGTTAATCCTTGTTAAAAGAAACTTTTTTCTATTTGGTACCTTGAGGCACAATGCTACATACTGAATTTCACATACAAAAGAAATCACACAACATGGTTCATAGACATCATTATCTAATTGAGCAATATTCTGGTTTCTTGAGTTCAAAATTGTCTATGACTAATCAAATCTCCAAAATATCCATTGTCCTAATTGGGTGCAAGAGTAATTGATTAAAGAGAATGAAATAAATGAAGAAACTCCTAAGCTTCCACCCCATGCTAATTGCTCATAAAAGCTTGTCTAAATAAACCTATTTCAAATATTCTGTTGCTTTTAAAGAATCATATTACATCATTGTTATTAACTGATTAAATGTCAGTGTACCTTGGTGGCTGTTTTGAGCAACTGCAGTTAATCTGTATTGCAATATGCCACTAAGATTTATAAAACAGTTTAAACTTAAGCATGGATGGACTGTTTAGCATCTATTTGAAAATGGATGATTTGAAATAAATTCTGATGGGTTAATAAGGCTTACATTCAAGCAATTATCTCACATCTGTCTACCATCTGTCACAACTTAGTCCTGTAACTTATAGATCTATTAATAAATATCAATACAAATTCATATTAACTGTACTTTAAATGTTCAGAAAGATTTTATTTATAAAATATTTACTTTAATATAAAGTCAGTTGTATAAAGAAATAATTTTTAATTATAATTTTATGCAAGTTTAAGTGGGTCATTTAAATGTTATGAAACCCTTAACCATTTTACTTTTTGAAGTCTCTTTTTCAATGTGTTAACAAAGTGTCTCAAATTTTTCCCCCCATAAGCCCCTCAGAAATTCTTCCAAAGCCCTGAGTTCTGATGTTGAGGATTTAAGCAGCTTTTACCCAATGCTATGCAAATTTCGGGTAATATTATTCTCTCCGTGCATAGATATTTATGTATTTAACTCCCACTACTTCAAAAAGAGACTAAACCCCTTTGTACTGTGAATTCTGTTGTCTTTTGAATGTCTTTATGCATTCTGTAGGTCTGTTTGAATGTGACTGGCTACATTCAGCATTACAGAGGCTAATATTCAATTGAAAGTTTTTCTCCATAAATATTTTATTTATAGCTGTACTGTACATTCGGTTTTCAGTAAGTCTAGGAGACTGAACAGATTGGTCATCTTACACAATGTTTATGAAAAACAATTAAAAGGAATTAAATTATAGTCTACTAGCATCATTTGAAACTTGACACAGCATTCACCAATATAGAAAAATTCATCAGCATGTAAGATTCAGGCTATATTAGGCACAGGTTCTCTTTTATTGATGTTACTGAGCTCCTGATCAGTAGATCAAGGGGGGACACTACTCAAATGCAAGAAAGAGAATATCCTTTTTAACCTTCTCCAGAATCACTAGAACAGATAGACATTAAAACGGAGCAGTTTGTGACATGGCATTGAAGACTCAAAGGGAGAATGTGACACAAAACATTCACAGACATAGCTCTAGAGCCAGATTCTCTGCAGTCCCAAGCAGCAGTTCAAGCATTCATGGATTGCTGGAGTGCAAGGGCCTTCCAGTCACACTTCCTTTTTCCTGGCAGCACTCCCATGCTGGGTGCAGGAAAAGGGTTGTCCATCTCTGTGCTACCTGTATACACTTCCATGCTGAGGAGTCCTCTACCAGACAGACCTGCAGGGTTTAAATCTGCATTGCACCAGAAAACTAGTGCGAAAATGACTTAATGGGACTTAGGATCTGACCCCTCCCCATGTTACTTGCTTCTGCTAATTTCTTATGCACTCAAAGACATTTTTAAAATAGAGTTACAGTTCAAGATAGATCATATAAAACAAAGGCCACTTAGAAATTATTTGCAAATATCTGCTGCGGAGTCAATAACGTATTATGTAAATCTGAACAAAGTTCTTTTTCATACCAACGTACAAGTTGAAAAAATGACAATGTTAATTTCTTTTTATAACAAATGAGGCCCAAATGTACAGACCCGCAGTGTTGCTTCAATGAGGTTTTATCTGAAAAAGCAACTGCAGGATTTGGACTGTGGTAAATTCTGTGTTAGAATAAAGATACCTTCGGAAGATGTTGCTGACATGAGATCAATTAGAGAGCTTTGGTAATATAGTGAATTGGATCCTAGAAACCATGCAACTAATCTGTGATGTATTTTGAACTGGAAAGTTAATTTGACTGATATTTTGTCATGATGATTTTTTAAAAACAGTTAAAAAACTTGTATTTTGTTTTTAAAGTTGCCTACCTCTGCAGCACCATGAGGTCACCATGCCTACCTTGTTGTTATGGGGAGAAAGAGATGCATTTATGGAAGTTGAGATGGCAGAAACTACTCGGATTTATGTTAAAAATCATTTCAGATTAACTATTTTGTCTGAAGCCAGTCACTGGCTCCAGCAGGATCAACCTGACATAGTTAACAAGTTGATATGGACCTTTCTAAAAGAAGAGACAATAAGAAAAAGAGAGTGACTTTTTCTACATGTTTTAAAGGTCTACATAAAAGCTCTTACATTTTAAAAACTAATTATTAGCAGGACCATATTTCCAGCCTACCTTCTAATTTGGGCTCTGTTAGGGAAAAGTGTTTTCGATGTATTGTACGTATTGACACCGATGTTATTACTAAAAGAAGATAGTGTGAGAACATATAGTGTTAACATTGGTTTTACCTGTATTCTTGTATTTTGCACATAAAAACACCTGCCTTAAAATGTATGTGTTTGTACAGTAAGGAAATCATGGAAAGTTACTTGGTTCTGGTTTCTCACTTGCTTTACACTTGTAATATATGGTGCCTTTCACAAATTTATAATGAAACAATGGCGGGCTGTCATATGAAAAGGAAGTCAGGTATCAGTTGGACTATCAGTTTTCATTCAACCAGTAGATTTTTTTTTTACTGTATTGTACCATTAAAAAAGTTACCAAGTATTTTATTATTCACATTTTACTGTATCAGTCTAAAGAAAACAAATTTCTGGGCAAATCTGTAGTCTTCAAGTGATATATCACACATACCTTGTTGTATTGTGAAATTACAACTGTTTTATGTGGTATATTTTCTTCTTAATTGAAAAATAGGGATCTGTTCACACGTAACATATCTGGACAAGAAGAATGGAAAATGAAGAGCTATATATTCATGATTTATGTATCAAATCCACTTCTATCTAATAAAATGTAATTTAAATTGTGCCCTCTATCTGACTCTTTACAGAGAGATTTGTTCCTAAAGCTGGATAGCAGTTTTGAAAAGTGATGTGTCCATTATTATTGTGCAGCCTTGCTCATGCTATCATTGTTGAAATTTCTAGCAAATAAAGCCATTCAGCATTCATCCTCCCATGTTGGCAATTATCATTCTTGCCTCCAAGAAATGTTGCCAGATCCCTGTGCATAGGGGAAAAGAGAGACTCAATAAGTGATAACCCAGAGGAGAGTTGTTGTTTGAGGATGGATTTCACTAGCCATGGGGAGGTCAGAGAGAACAACAAGATGTAGGTTGCTAGCAATGGAGAAGAGAAGGCTTGAAATGGGGGTGTCCAGCATTAGAAGGGAGAACTTGGAGTCACCTCCCTGTACAGCTCCTTGTTCAAGACCCTCTTTTCAGAGCGAAGACCCTCCACCTTCACTCTCATTTTAGAGAAAAAGCACTTTCTTAGCCCATATTGTGAAGAAAAGATGCTGCCAATTTCTCTAAAAAGTGAGGGAAACAGCACTCTCCTCCAGGAAAAGGCTGCTCCATCCCTGCAGTGGAACTGCATCCCTGCAATGAGATGGATGGAAATTGGTCCCCACAAATTCTGTTCAAGCTCTCCTGCCTCTCAAACTTTCTATGGCTCATGACACAAATCTGTGTTCCCTTCTTCCCCCTGACAAACACAATCCTCCTCCCAGTTTTCATGCTCCCTCAACCCACCATGTAGCTGACAAAGCCTCTTGTCTGCTATTATAAACTCTTTCCTCCCAGCTGCAGAAGGCATTGACACCTAACACCTTCTAGGCACAAGTGTCCAAATAAATAGAATACTTAGCCACAGTAGGATATGAGGGACTTTATACCACTGGAGTTGGGCAACTCAGGCATCTATTTTTCCCACATTGCTTACACAAAGCACATCTTCATCTTTACATCCATAAATACAGCTGGAGACTTCACTTCTGTTGCTATATGCAAAACAATGCCTTTCTCCCCCCCCCCTAAAATTTTTAAGGCAAAAAGCCCTCCCACCACCCGCAACCTCCCCTGAATCCTGAGTTAAACATGTCCATGAAATGGTCATTTGAAATGAGCTCTGATGGTGACCCCTTTTAGGGATAAATGCTGTCTCATCTGTCTCCCCATGTATGCAGAGGGCACCTGTACACAACAGAACTAGTGCAGTTATGTTGTTTGGAAAGGCTGTGAGGTCAGAATGCTGGGCCCATGCAGGGAGTGCACACTCGTTGCAGCTAGAGATGTTTCAGTTTCTTAACCAGTCTTTGCTGGAGAGGTAGAACAATCCCTGAAACATACATCTAGTTTTAAGCAGGGTTCAGCTTCTGGCTGTAGATTCACTGACTTCTTTTCAATCCTAAAACACCCTTTCAGACTCAAGCTCCTAACTTCCTTTGAAATCAATGGAAGATAGAAGCCTAGATACCTTTGAGGACCTGGGCCTAAGAAACTTCAGAGATAAGAGACAGGAATAAATTGCTGCAAATACACAGAGAGTTAATTGCCTGTAGAAAAACAGATTTACTAGTCAAAATACTGTAATATAAATAAGAAATCATGTTGAAAAGCTATTGCCTTTTAAATAAGTTTTAGTGTATATATAGGCTTGGCAAATCTGATTTTTTTTTTAAATAATTTTGACAGATATCGATATTTATTTTTAAGCATTTTTAAAGATTATTTTGATTTAAGTTTTCACTGTTGTGTGAGATTATGGGTTTTAGCATTTTTAATTATTTTTATAAATTTAAATTTTCACAGTTGCAGGAAATTATGTGGGGGTCAGATGATTATTTAATTAAAGTAAACATGGAGATTCAAAAAGTTAAAATTTTATAAACTGTTAAAAACACAAATTGTCAACCTCACATGCCAAAATATACAAAATAAATATCCTTAAATCAACAAATTATGCCTGTTTTTACTATTCATCACTAGCCCATTTGTAACCATCCTAATTCAAACTTTTAAATCTGGATTTTGACTCTAATAAGCTATCAAGCAGAATTTTTCTTTGCCTAACTGTAAATTTCTATTATTATTGATGGAAAAAAATGTTCGTGGCTTGGTATGTGTATTGTAAAATCAATCTTTCCAACATTTACCAATAAATATCTAATCCTAATTATATACCATTGATGGAAATTGTGATTAAAAGATAAACTTTCCACCAACTACTCAGTATTACTTATGGACAAGTGGGGAAAGCTGTTAATAAGAAGTGATTAAATGTTAGATATTAGATCACCATTCAAAGCTAGAGGAAGGTAAATCATCTTTATATAAAGGTTTATGGGTCTGCTCATAAGAAAAGAGGCATAATTTTATGACTACAACTTCCTAAAAAACCCTTTTGGACACAGGATTAAGAGACCCAAGTAATTAAAAGAGTGAAATAAAAGGGTTTTGAAAAAGTTGGAGAGGATTCAGTCGAAAACCAGAAGAATGATGCAAGGTCAAGAAAACCTATCTTACACTAAGAGCGTTAAGAAGCTCAACCTATTTAGTTTATCAAAGAGACAGGTAAGAGGTACATTGATTACCATGTATAGGTATCAACACAAGGGTTCTTCAACATAGCTGACAAAGGTGTTAAGAAGGACCAAGGGCTGGAAGTTGAAGCTAGACAACTTTAAACTTAAATAAGGCATACTTTTTTTTTTAATCTCTGTGGCTAATTAACCAATGGAACAATTTAGCGAGGGATGTGGTGGATTCTCCTACACTTGAAGTATTTTAATCAAGATTGGATGTCTTTCTAAAAGATATACTCTAGTTCAACTAAAAGTTATGGCTTCTATTATTACTGGAGGTCAGACTGGATTATCATAATGGTTCCCTTAAAATTTATGAAATCTATGAAAATGAAAACAAATGGCACCAACCAGAAATCTGACCATGATAGCTGGCCACTAAAGAAATGATGCACATTTTCACTGACTTTTTTTATAATATATTTCACCTTCCAAGAAGCTATTCTCAAACAGAATCAATGACCTAACATTTATAACAATCAGGGATTTCTAAAGACTGGAAAAACAAAACAAGAAGATGCTAGTCCTTTATGATGTTTTTAAGACCATAACATTGGGTTCAATGGTCCACCTTCCAATGCAGATACATTCTGGAAAACAAGTTCTTTACCTTCTAAGTCTATAAAGCTTGAACATGTTTGGGGGGAAATTTCCCTTGTGCTTCAGATACCAGTTATGGATGACGAAGGAAGGATCAATGCTAAACTTGCCTACTCTGCATTTGCCCCCAACTGGGTGGATACCAATGAATTATGTATGTTCAAAAGAGATTTCTTCCCTGTTGGGTTAGTTTAGTTAATTACCAAGACCTAGGATTATTTGTCTTTAAGCTGTACTGTATATTTATATTATTTATTACAATAGAGGAAAATGGAGAGAAAAAGCTACGTTAAATCGATCTGTTTCATATTACCAGTGAGCAGAAGTCCAGCTGCTGCTTGAATTGCAGTGAAGCTATTATATTCAGTTTTGCTGGATCCTCTGGTGGCCTTGCTCTTCCTATGTTTTTTCTCTTTTATGTCTACTTCATGTAGCGATGTCAGCTTACTGACAAAATCAAATTAATTTGTAAAAGGCCTTCGTTCAGGGTTCTCAGATCTGTTCTCTTTAGAGGATCAAAAAGTCTCTTTCTTTGCTCCCCAAAGCAGTATTGTTTGGGTTTGATGTGTGTCTCTTATACAGAGAGAATAACATGACCCATTTCTATTGATGGTTAAAACAGTGCTACTACAGTAAGTACATTTATTTAGAGATAACCTTCAAGAGGACTCTCAGTACTAGGCTCCCACTGCCTTCAGCCCAGATGCAATGCCATGCTTAGAATTTTCAAAGCTCTGTGTGAAGAAAGATGTGTATGTGTTTCAAGCTTACTTCCACTAAAGGTATAGCACAAGAGTGATGGGGGCAGGAGACATGTCAGGCAGGCTACTTGTCATTCCTGGGTAAAGGGACACCAGGAGGGTTTATCGTGAGGGAGGAGACTGATGTGCTTGTCATTAAGGGAAGGGAAATAACTGGGGAAGGTTGGGTTCATCCTTCAAGGCTGAAAGGTGGGATCATTATTTAGGGAAGTGTTTTGAGTAAGGTAGATCCCAAAGTGTACAACCCTGTTTGGCTGCACATTTGGCACACGCAGGTCAACAGGCTCCCTTCTGGGACCCCACCCCAGTAACATTCCCCGTGCTGGACGGAGACAAGGACAAAACAGAGGGGAGCCACTGAAGGGCAGCAATGGTAGGGGACAGCGGTGGAAGCACCGCCGGGCCCCGCAGTCACCACACCGGCCGCCTTCTGACGGCGGCACCCCACAAACGTGTTAAATCGTCATTCACAGATTGCCACAGCGCGCCGGGCTCCAGGAGCGGCCTCTTGTCTGCATCCAACGCTCCTCCCCGCCCCTGCCGAGCCAGGCTGGCTGCCCCGGAACCTCCCTGCGGGGACCCTGGATCCCCGCCACGTGCCACCTCGGCTGCCCTGCGCCCCAGGGCCCGGCCTAACCCCGCGGAGCCAAAGCTCCGCCCCAAACACAGCGGGTCTCAGGCCAACGCTCCCTCAGCA